GGTGTCAGGTATTTTGTCTCAGCAACAAGAGAAAAGTAACCAAGACAATCATTCTTACCTAAAATGTGTGGCTCAGGGTGTTCACAGTCAAAGCAACCAGACCACTCCACAATGAAAGTGTCTTCCTCCTAGATGGCTGGCCAATACCTCCAGAACAGGGTCTGGATAGGTTATTTAAATAAGTCTCCATCTTGCAAAATATTACTTTTATACTATGACAACATGACAGATCTATGATTTCTGTTTCAAAATTGTATTTTTGTTTGTTTGTTTGTTTTCTTTTTTGTTTTTCTCCAGTACCAGGAACCGAACTCATGACCTTGCGCTTGCCAGGCAGGCGCTTTTGCCACTGAGCTAAATCCCCAGCCCCCAAAATTGTATTTTTTAAAGTAACATGCTATGGTTTACTGCATTTTTATATGAAACAACAATTTTCTTTCTTTTTATTAGTGTGTGTTTTCAATAGATAACAACGACACTTGTTTTGGGGAATTGTACACGTATATGATATATTTTAATCATTTTGATCTCTTTACCTCCCCCTCCCACCATCTTCTTCTCTATCTCCAAAAAGTCTGCTTTCTTGTTTCTGGCCATCTCTCTTTTATTTTACTCATTTATTTATTTATACTTTAAGTTTCTCATATAAGAGAAACCATGCAATATTTAACTTTCCATGTCTGACTTATTTCACTTAGAATTACAGTCTCAACTTCCATTCATTTTCCTGCAAATAATATGATTTCATTCTTCTTCTGGCTAAATAATATATGTATATGTATGATATATATGTACTTACATGTGATATATGTCTCACATTTTCTTTATCCTTTCATCTGTTGTTGGGCATATGAGATATTTGTACAGCTTAGGTGTTGTAAATTATGCTGCTGTAGATGTTCTGTATGTATTTCTACAGTAGGATACCTTTAATTCTTTCAGTAACATGTGGCTGGGTCAAATGTAATTTCCAGTTTTACCTTTGTGAGGAATCACCATCCTGATTTCCATAGTGCTTATGTTAGTTTATGTTCCCACCAACAACATACAAGGCTTCCATTTTTCCCACATCCTCACCAGC